TTTCAAGACAGCCAAGGGTTTACAGGCTGTTTCCCACAGGCTGCAACCACCATCACCCTCCCCCTCCAAAAAATCAAACTCTAGAAATAAAACAAGATGATGCAAAAATCTAGGAAGATGGCCCTATTCGAGGAGAAATCCAGAGTGACAGGGGCAGGACACATTCCGTGTTGATGAACAACAATAGAGAGGAACCCAGAGCATCCTCCTCCGTCAGGACCGTGTGACAGAAAGTAGTTCAACACAGATCATCCTCATCTCCTTGGCCACTCTCCCACAGTGAGCTATGTGGTTCTTGCTCTCCCCAGCTTCTTACTTTCCCCTTTAGGATTCATTGCTGATAATCTTTGTATATAGATGATTTCAGCTCTGTTTAAGGGTCTTCCCTAAAGACAAATTCTCAAAGAGCACATTTCCTAAAGTGGTGTGTGTATGTGTGTGTGCGTGCATGTTGGCGTGTGTACACACGTGTGAGCAGGTGTTTACATGTATGCACAGACATGAGAGGCCAGAGGTCAGCACCGGATATCTTCCTCAACTGCTCTCTGACCCGTTCTTGAGACTTACTGACTACATAGGAGCTTCTCATAAAACCTTAAACACTAGGAAAAACACTGTCCTTGGGACCTGGCTCTCTGTCACCTCATCCCTGAAGGTGCTGACCTCACGTGATTTCCTGTGTTCGGGCACTAGAAACCCACCTGTAAGTGTTGACTGCAAAGCAGAAGTCATGCAGACTTCCCAGCACTTGGTATTTCAGGGACTTTGACACATGTTAAGCATCTTATTAACAAAAGAGGCCAGAGATTGTACAACGATTGCTCCTAATAGGACACCTGAGCCACTGAACCGGAGATGGATGAACACCGAGTCTGAAGGGCGTGCTCGGCAGTGGCTACCAGAACATAGGTTTTATGAGTGGCCAGAGGAGAGTCAGACTCCAGGGTCATCTTTCCAGAAAGAATCAGGAAGCACTTCAGGCTGGTGAGATGGTGGTGAAGAGGCAGACTTTCATCATGGCGGAACCTCACTGGAGAGCCGGGAGCCATGCCCTCCGAGCTGGCCGTCATTGGCACTGACTATATGACCCCACTTTGGAACCTTTCTTTATCTGAAAACTGGGGCTAATAATAGAGTTTTGCTCATGCCCGCTCTCCCTAGGTTCACAGTCTGTTCATTTCCTTCTTCAGCACGTTCTTTATTCCGCCTCACGTGTTGGGAAGGAGCCTTGGTAACTTTCCAAGGGCAGGCGTCCAGCCGTCCCTGTCCCTGTCGTCCTCGAAGCCAGCCACGCCCTGTATGCAAGGGCGAAGCAAAAGGCAGAATGCATAGTCTTTTGAACAGGAGGAACATACTATCGGGAGTCACCAATACCTAGTAGAAGCAACGTCCAAGATGGGACGAGAGCTGAGAAAGAAATGCCCACGGAAGGGCACTCTTGGAAAGGGCCCTCTCTCCATGACTAAGGTGCCAGATGCTGACACCTCTGGAAAAGGTGTGGCTGTCACCCCCAAGATGGCAGAGGAGCTCCCCAGCTGGGTGCCAGGCACTGAACAACAGAAAGTCTTCTGGGACACAGGCAAGGTGAGGGTAGAGGCCAGGTGTGCCAAGGGAGTTGGCCCACACTACCAGTGCAAGGCTGAAGTGGGTCCAGAGCCTGCCTCAGGAGGGCCAGAGAGAAGTGGTTCCTGGGCCTGCTGCCAGGACGGCAAGGTCACTGAGTAACTGCCCTCCAGGCACACAGCAGGGCAGAACAGCATCTCTTTCCACAGACCGTGCACACCCTCCAGGATCCAAGCCCGAAAGAGGCTAACCTTTCCCCAGTAGTCTCCCTAGATCGCCCTCTACGGGCAAGCTTTAGTAGTACATGCTCTAGAGAGAACTGCTCACAGGGTCCTCTCCTCAGAGCTGGGAAGCGATAATGTGATGTGTCGGTGATTCTTTCTAAGATTCTAATTGCAGTTGTGGAATTGGTTCCGTCACTAAAGTACTTGCCACACAAGCAAGAGGACCCGAGTTTACATTCGCAGCACTCCCGTAAAAGTCAGGTGTGATGGCACCCTTTTGTAGTCCCAGTATTCGGGTGGGATGGCAGGTATAGGAGGATCCCTGGAGCCCTCTGGCCAGCCAGTAGCCAAATGGATGAGATCCAGGTTCAGTGAGAGACCCTGCTTCAGAAGATAAGGTTGAAGGGCCGGGGAGATGGCTCGGGGTAAAAGCACCTGCTGTGCAAGCATGAGGACCTGAGTCCAAATCCCCAGAACCCAAGTAATCAGGCAAGGGTGGTCATGTGATCCTGTAACTCCAGCTGTGTGGGGGCCTGGACACAGGTGAATCACCAGAGCTTGTAGGCCACCAGTCTAGGGCCAGGATCAGTGTAAGACCCCGTCTCAAGGGTATAAGGCCAAGAGTGACAGAGCTGGATACATGGCATCCTCCACGAGATACGCATACCCTCACACACACATACACACACACACACACACACACACACACACACACACACGGCAACTTAATCTTTTTAAAAAAATAGTAAAGTTGATGAAAGAAGACCCCTCATATCACTCTGTGTGTGTGTGTGTGTGTGTGTGAGAGAGAGAGAGAGAGAGAGAGAGAGTATAATTAATAAGTTAAAATCACACAGCTTGCCAATGGCTCTCTTAACACCTGTCTACTTCCCTTTCTTTGAATACCATACATTACACCAATAAATGTCAAACCTCGTTGCTTCTCTTGTAATTTACTATCTAGAAAGCCCCATCCCCTCAGGAGTTCTGTTCTGTCTTCCTTCTCCTCCTGGTTTACACTTGAGAACGAGTGAGAGACTGACTCTGACTCCCACAATCCTTCGTTTCATAACTGTTTTTTTTTCCACCCAGACCCGATTGGGTCTATTTCATTTCAAGGCAGTCCATCTGTCCATCCCAGACAGTAGGAGTGCCCAGAAGCATGGGACTGCAAGAGGCAGTAGGAGGAGCTGGGTTCATCTAAAAAGCCGTGCTTTCTAAGCCTTTGAGGAATGTGCCACAGGCATCTCAGGGCAGGTTGGAAGTTCGTGTCCCCTGACCCGTCAGACCTCTCAACATATTAGAAGAGAAGCCAGTGGGAGGCCTGAGGACACGGCTCGTTGGGTAAAATGCTTACTGATTCCCAGCACCGACATAAAAAGCTTGTGTGTGGTGGCATGGAATGCTGGGAGACGGAGGCAGGAGGATCACAGCGGCTCAGCGGGCAGCCTGTCTAGCTCCAGATTCAGCGAGATACCCTGTTCCAAAATTAAGGGGAGAGTGACAGAGGGACTCTGGCTTCCACACTTGGGCGTATGACCACTTACTCATACACACCGAAAAGGAGGAAGAAGGACAGAAAAGAGACAGACGATAGAGCAAACAAACAGCAGGCTTGGCAGAGAGTTTCAGACTGACCACCAGGCTAAAACGTTCACCTGTCAGGTGAAGAGCCCTCCCACACTGCCCCTCTGAAGGGTGTAGTCATAGCAGCAACTGTGCATCGAGACAATGTTGGTAGGCATCTGCCGTTGTACTCTTACGAAATACCCCATCCTCTGTGGAAGAGTTCGAGGGGATCAGTGGTCATGGATGAGCCCCTGCAGTGAGGTGGGGTGCATCCTCCAAAGATAACGTGACTTTCCAAACCTAATCTGCTTCCTGTCCTTGAGAAGCTGCCTCATCACTTCAGACCAAAATATGGGTAGCTGTGTGCACATGTGCGTGTGTGGTGTTCTAGGCCAAAAGAACCTAGCCAAGCTGTACGCTGTTCACATACAGATGAAATCACACTCTTACGTGATCATAAAAAATATACGTTTGAGTTGGGGATATGGCTCAGCGGATAGAGTGTTTACTTAGTGTACAAGCAGAGTGACGGGAGTCTGGGATCTCAATACTGGGGGGGTGGAGGCAGGAGAATCAGAAGTTCAAGGTTGTATCTGGCAGCCTGTGCAATAGTGAAACCCTGTGTCAAGAAAGAAAGGGGTGGGGGAAGCTGTGTGTGGTGGAGCACCACTTTAGTCCTAGCACTCAGGAGGCAGAGGTAGACAGATCTCTGTTAGTTCAAGACCAGCCTGGTCTACATAGTGAGTTCCAGGACAGCCAGGGAAACAAAGAAACCCTGACTTTAAAAAAAAAAAAATTTAAAAATGGCCAGGTGGTAGTGGCGGCACACACCTTTAATCCCAGCACTATGGGAGACAGAGACGGGTGGATCTCTGTGAGTTCAAGCTCAGCCTGTTTCTATGAATGATATCTAACCGTAGGCAAAGGAAAGGGTTTGAGGTGTGTTTTCTCTTTGCCTATCTCTTTTCTGCAACGAGAGCGCATTTGTGAATTAAACACGTAAACTAAGTCAATCAGGGGCTGGTGAGATGGCTCCGCAGGAAAGGCACTTGCTGCCAACCCTGACAGCCCGAATCAGACTCCCCAGGACCCGCATGGTGGGAAGAGAGCCAGCTCCAGCAGCTTGTCCTCTGACCGCCCCATGGCTACCATGGCATGCATAAACGCACACAAATAAATAAATGTAACAGACTTTTTTTAAATCGCCAGAAAGGCACACCTATTTTTCTCCCCTGATCTTGGGCTGTGTCGCTGCTTTTTGTCCCCGGTCTCACCAGACCCTCCCAGCCTCTGCTCAGATGAGCCTGCCAAAACCCAGCAGTCTTCAATTTTTTTGGAAGGCGTTTTTGGAAAAGATTTATTTCCTCATTCTTGAACTTCTAAAAACAGCCCACTTTTTTCATCTACCCCTCAGCATGCAGTGACAGATGCTACACCTGCCTCTGACGCGACAGAACCTCAGTGAGGAATAAAAGCCCGTCATGATTCTCGCACATTCTGTGGCAGGCGAAGCTAGGGCTGTGGGGGGCCACGGGAAGGCGCGCGCGGTGGGGCGTCATCTCGCCTCAGGCATCGATGTCCTAGCCGCGGGCACTGGGCAAGATTTCATCCGCTGACCTTTGATGTGCTGCTCTGTCCTTGCAGATTTTTGACAGTGAAGCCAAAGACCTGGAAAGGGAAGTGTGCTTTATCGATATCGCCTGTGACGAAATTCCAGAGCGCTACTACAAAGAGTCTGAGGTGAGTGATCCAAATGGGAGAGTTACGGATCCACTCACTCATTCATTCACTTCACGCAGTATTTGGGAAGCACTTCCTGTGCCTAGAATCCTTCCATCTGTCTTTATGTTCATTTGGTTTAGTCTTGACATCTCACGGGTCCTTTAAGGTTGATTTTTTTTTTTTTATTTGACGTGTGTGAGTGTTTTCTGTCCACCAAGTGCATGCAGTGCCTCCAGAAGCCAAAAGAGGGCATCAGACCCCTGGGAACTCTAGTTATTGGTGGCTGTGAGCTGCTGGAAATTGAACCCAGATCTTCTGGAAGATCAGCCAACACTCTTAACCACTGTGCCAAGTCATCTCTGGGTTCTTTAATGCTGGACTCAGAATGAAGTCCCCAAGCCCATCACTAAATCCCGCTGCCACTCCCAACCCCGTCCCCATTCCACTCGGCAGAGGGATCCCTGGGGCTAAGCATTCAACACGCTGGCTTTTCTGAACACAGCGGCCTGTCTGCGTGAGGATGCAGACAGCATTTCATTTCTGTCTTTGGAGTTTAACATAAAGAAAATCCTCAATCAAGCCTCAAAACTTTGATGGCTCATGTTGGCCCAGAAACATTCTCCCAAAATAGCAGGCACCTTCCCGAGAGCTTCTCTTCTCAGCCGAGAATCCTTGAGCCAGAACACTTTCCCCTCCAGCTCAGCCCCTACCAGAATCTGCCCTCTGCCTTGCCGCTCCCGCTTTACGGCACTGTTGGTGCCGGTCATCATTTATATCCCGTTAGTGTCTTATTAATGGCCGCGGATGGAGCTGGGGTGACCCGCTTAGAGGCAGTGTCCCAACCCTGGGACGACAACAGACGCAGGGCTATTTTCGTTGTTTAGTGACATGCAGCCAATTAGTATGTTTAGAATCAGGGCCCCAGACTTGTCCTTGAGCTATAACACAGGGACTCTTGAGGCTCTTCCCTTGGATTCATCAAGGCTGATTGAAGACGCCATGCATAAACTCATTGAAAGTAAGTTCCGGGCTGCTGGGATGGCTGTGCATACAGTTAAAGGTGCTTCCAGCTAAGTCTTGACATCCTGAGTTCAATCCCCGAGACCTGCATGATGGAAGGTGTACAGACAGACTCCCACAGGGTGTCCTCTGGTCTCCGTACACAGACTGTGCGCACACACACACACACACACACACACACACACACACAAGCATGTAAATAAATAAATAAGCACATAAAGAAATGTTTAAAAATGTTTTTAAACGTGAGTTCCAGTGTGTTACAAACTGGGCTTCCTTGTGCTTTAGATCTTTACCTCCCTATTGGGGGATTTGTTTGACTAGAAAAGTCTTACTTGGTTTTAGCAGATGCCCGCCTGATGCATTGCAGGCTGGACTTTGGTCCCTCAAGACTGGGAAAAGGCCATTTTGAATCACTCTGTGCTGCATGCATTCATCCAAAGGCTAAGCATACTGTTGTTATCAACTTTAGGAGACCCTGCAGCCAGCCAGAAATGTGTGCTTTAAGAAAAACCAAGTTGTGGCTAAAGACACGGCTCAGCAGTTATAAAAGCCCTGATTGCTCTTCCAGAGGACCGGGTTCGATTCCCAGCACCCACATGTGGTGGCTAACCACCATCTGTAACTTCAGCCTGGGCTCCTTCCTCTGGCCTCTATGAGCACTGCATGTACATGTACAGACACATGCAAACAAACATAAAATAAGCAAATGATAAATCTCAAAAAGATAAGTTTAAAGAAAATGGAGCTTAAAGGTCCAGATATGTTTCTGTATGCTTGGTAAGTTGAGGCAGGAGGAGTTTGAGGGCAGCCTGGGTGTTATAAATAGACCTTGTCTCAGTCACACCAGAAAAGCTGAGGGGGGCGGGCAGAAGGGAAGCAGGAGTGGGGGAGGGAAGGGGTAAATAAATAAAATGAAAAGGAATTTTTGGGGTTTTATTAGTTTTATTTTAATTGCATTTTGTGATGTATTGCACATGTTCTTTGGTTTGGGAGTTTGGGAGTTTTAGGGGGGGCCTTATTTCTGATGCTTATAAATCCAGACCAGGTTTTTTTGGGCGATGCCTCTCCACCAGGATACTGTCCCACACACTATACCCAGTCTTCTTTCTCTTTTCCCATTCCCCCTGGGAAGGCCCTGAGCCACACGGCCAAGAATGCCTCTCTCATTAAGGTGACCAGAGCTGGCACTTTTGCGCTGGCTGGCTCCTGCCTGACAGCCAGCCCTCTTGCCACCACTAACCAGGGATTCAAAGGGACATGTCAGGGACTCAGTATCAGTTGATGGCCCAGCCTAAGGCCCAATTCTCATCTTTCAGGGACCCTGTCTCCTAGCAAATCCATGGCCTGGGCGGCAGCTCCCAAGCCTCCTAAACTCAAGCTTCATTCTTTCTTGACTTTCTCTGTGTGTTTATGTATTTGTACACGTGTATGCCACGTGTGTGTAGATGTCTGTGGAGGCCAGAAGAGGGCATCAGATCCCTGGAGCAGGAGTTGCAGGCAGCTCTGAGCCACCTGACGTGGGTGCTGAGCAGCAAACACTCATAACCACAGAGCCACCCTTCCAGCGCATCTGTGCTTTTGCCCATTAGAGGGGCCCAAAGAGCAGTGCTGTTGTGTTTTCCTTTTAATCAGGGCAGAGAGATGGCTCCAGGGGTGAAGCACCTCCTCTGCAAAAGTGGGGATCTAAGTTTGGATCCCCAGAACCCAATAAAAGTCAGATGTTCCTATGACATAGAGCTGTGACCACAATGCCAGGGTCAGAGTCAGACAGGTCCCCCAAACTCACTGGCCAGCCGGGAGAGACTATCAGTGAACACCAAGCTCAGTAAGGTATAGAATATTCATGAAAAACCCCCAATGTGTTCCGCTGGCCTCCACCTGCGTGTGCGCGCACACAGACACACACACACACACACCAGTGTGAACTCGGAGGGTCAAAGAGAGCACCTCTTTTAAGCCTCACAGAGACAAGGCTGTCTATGGAATTCAGAAAGTTCTTTGTGCCAAGTCACATGCCCAGGCTTGTCCGTGCCAGCAGAGCAGCAAAGAGGGTGGGATGCGCTCTATACAGTCTGCGCCCGCGATGAGGTTGATGCATGGCTCCTCGCTTCTGCCAAGACTGCCGTCCCGACTCGCTGATGCTCTGCCAAGATTTCAAGGTGAAGATGCAAGGGAGGAAAAAGGGACTGTGCAGAGGACACAAGCCAGGAGACCCATCCATACAGCCGAGGTGGCAGTTCCAGGGGTATAAAAACCAAACCTCCTTTCCAGCCTGCAGAACTGGTCCACACTGGGCGGTCTCAAAGTCAAGTTCACAGAGACCTCATATGAGGCAGATAGTGTTGGCCAATGGTCCATCTGGTTCTCTTGCATCTGGTTCTCATTTAGTATGTTGGTTCAGAGGCTTGACTTCCGTCATGACTGTATCCTGAGACAATAGTCCATGTATCGGCCTCCTCAGTGCTGCCCCTGCAGCTCCAACCCCTGCCTATAGAGGAAGGCATGTCTTTTAAATTTTCAGATATGCCTCCAGTACAAACGGGCAGGGAGAGAAAAAAATGGAATTTCCTATTCAAGAATGTGGAGGATGAGCCCAATATAGCGGTGCGTCCTCTAATCCCAGCACTTGGGAGGCAGAGGCAGGCAGATCTCTGTGAGTTGGAGGCCAGCCTGGTCTACAGAGTGAGTTCCAGGGCAGCCAGGGCTACACAGATAATCCCTGCTGGAGGTGGGGGGCTGTGGGTTTGATGATGTTGGCAGTGGTAAGAGTTTTGTTTGGGTTTTGTGGTTTGGTTTGGTTTGGTTTCTAGATTTATTTTATGTGTATGAGTGTTTTGCCTGCATGCATGTATGTTACTACATATGTGCAGTGCCTGAGAAGGCTGGAAGAGGTCATTGGATTCTCTAGAACTGGAATTACGGAGGACTGTGAGCTCCCATGTGGGTGCTGGGAACTAACCCATGTCCTCTGCAAGAGCATCGAGTACTCTTGACTGCTGAGCGTCTCTCCAGATCTCTGTTATCTTGAGTTTGACTTTCTTGTTCCAGATGAAGGAATTTCTCTCTCTCTGTCATCTTAGAGAATGGAAAAGTATTCATCTTACTGGTGGTAGAACTTAGTCATTTTGGTGGGCTAATTTAATTTGGAACTTAAATAATGATGAAGAAGAGTTACCCAGGGCTCAGCCATGAAGAGCATTTGGTGGTCTCATAGAAGACCCAAATCCAGGTCCCAACACCCACATCAGACAGACAACTCACAAATGCCTTTAACCTGAGCTTCTAGGAACCTGATGCCCCCTTCTACCTTCCACAGGCATCTGCATGCATGTGCACACACACTCACAGACACACATATATACACACACTCAGACACACACATATATACACTCACAGACACACACATACTCACACACATATACACACACTCACACACTCACAGACACACACATACACACATGTGCACACTCACAGACACACACATACACACTCACAGACACATACATACACACACACACACACACACACACACACACACACAAATAAAAAGAAGAAAAGAGACACATAAGGCTGTCCCAGTAGCATGGGCCCCTTCTGTGGTCCAGAGGAACATGTGACCGGGAAGAGAGGATCTTTAGACGGAATTTGATTTAGGACTTTCTCCTTGGACTGAGGTGACTCTCTCCAGATCCCTGGATTATAGTCTCCCTGGCCCAAGCCTCCTCAGCAGCTGGTTCATCATTCACCGCAGTTGACTCCACTCTTGAGGGAGAAGAGAACAAAGAGAAGCACATCCAACCTTTCCAATAACTGTCAAGGGCGAGAGAATAAATGGGATTTGCTAAGGACAGGCCCCCAGAAAGGGAACAGAAGCACCAGATGAGTAAATACTGCCGTCCTTAGCTGTCCCCTTCCAAACCTCTCGGCTCTCTCTAATTAAAAATATTTTCATTTGGGTCTGCACCTTGGTGGTTGAGAGTGCTGAAGATTTTCGG